AGACATGAATTTCTTCTGTGGAATAAGACTATTAAGGATTCACCACATAAATACACTGAACTTTCTCCTCTGCCTTCTGCCTTGCAGTCTGTCTGTTTGTCTGTGTGTTCCCTTCATCTTGTGATAGTTGGTCTCTGGTGTGATTTCAGTAGAGCTGAAGTTACAGCATTCCCATTATTTTCACCTTATTTAAAGCTCCTTCCTGCCCATATGTCCTTTTCTTCTAGTCATTAATAAGGGCCTGACAGCAGAATGGGTATCACACTGCAAGCTGTGGATGCTCTCTTCTAAGCCAGTCAGGTGAGCAGACATCACCTTGGTGTAGCTGTCCTTGCTGTTGGCTTGCCTCTGCCCAGCTCTGTCAGCTGAAATGGGAGCAAGCACTAATGTTTGCCAAGGAAAATGTGTTCATCAGTTCCAATATCTTGGAAATGTCTTCCAGCTTAAGGAAAAGCCATAGTGCATGTTCCATACCCATGAGGAGCAATGCAAGTGAGCATCTATCTACCTGTGGCCTCAAAGTGAAACCTGGAAGCCCAAAAGCATCATGCTGCTGAGCACATGCTTTCATTCAGAAATAAAGTTGCATTAGTGCAAACTCCATTTAAGTTTTAATGATTTACAGTTTCCCTAAAGTTATAATAATACACCAGAGGTCATGAGGTCATCCAGGACATTTTGGTAAACAAACTGAAGCTTAGATAAAGCCACCTATGGCCCCAGCTAGGAACGCTTCCTGGGGAAACCCAAAGTGATGGATTTTATCAGGCTTGGTTTCTGTTTTGACTAAATTTCTAAGCCATTTTCCAGTGTGACTTGTAATAGAAAAAGGCTGAAGGGTCATGCTGGAATAACATGCAGGACCCAAGACCCAGACAGCTGTAGAAGTCACATTCATGGCAGAGTTAAACTCTATTGGGGTATGCTGGCAGTTTCCTGCTATTTAATACATGGTGTTTTCTTACTATCGGGTCAAACTGAAGTGACTTTTGCTGTATACTTTAGTCTTATTTTCTGGTCGTGATCTGGTAAGGTTCATGAGAGCATCCACGTGATTTCCCTCAGGAAATAAGCATTTGAACCAGAAAAGAAAGGTCTACCCCGTCTTAAAATAAATAAATCCGAGGTGCTACAGAGAAAACATAGACCGTGGGACCCACAAGTTGTGCATGCAGGGACTCAGTAGCACCCTGCCTGGCTTGAAGGGGCATTGGTAGACACAAAGGACTCCTGTCTGCTCAGCTGCAGGCAGCTTCAGCTGGAAACAGAGTCTATTTTTACACAGAAGGGATAGATCTGTAAAGGGTTGAAGAGCTGATGGAGCAAATGGGGTTTTAACTATTGAAAGGATGTTTTAAATTACCTCGCTCTTAAACTTGCTTTTTCCAGTCCAACAGTGACCAAGCAGTACAGCAGTTGCTGTCACTGAGCTGCAGCTTTCATGCTGTGTGTTGGGCTTTGTTAGGAAGAAGGGGAACGGGGAGTGCACCTCACTCCAAGTCTCTCCAAATGACCTGTGCCTCAGGCAGTAGCAAACTTCTCTTGGCTATGGCTGCACATCATCCTCCTTAGGCCATTTGACCAGCAGACCTAAAAATACTGTGGAAATATCACCGAATCCCAGACTGGTTTGGGTTGGATGGGACCTTAAGATCATCCAGTTCTACTGTACAGGGACACCTTCCACTAGAGCAGGTTGCTCCAAGCCCCTGTGTCCAACCCGGCCTTGAACACTGCCAGGGATGGGGCAGCCACAGCTTCTCTGGGCACCCTGTGCCAGCGCCTCAGCACCCTCACAGGGAAGAGCTTCTGCCTTAGATCTAACCTGAACTTCCTCTGTTTCAGTTTGAACCTACCACCCCTTGTCCTGTCGCTACAGTCCCTGATGAAGAGTATCATGATGAAGAATAATATGTATTATTTCTCCTGCAACTGTGATCTGTACTAACATACCCTATACATAAGAGCCTAAACTCGAGGGCTGGGATTGCAGGCATTGGGCTGACTGAATGGCAACAGTGGTTCTGGTCACCCGGGTTGTGCACCACCCCTCTTCTGGAGGCTGCTGCTGCTGCTTCCACAGGGATATCTCAGGAATAGCTCAGGGATAGCTCAGCTGGTTGCTTAGCAGCAATTGGAAGGTACAGGAACGGGTCAGGGTTACTTCTGCACCACGCTCAGGCTGTGCCAGCTCAGTGCTCGCTCCATGAGTTGTGAAGAAGCTCCCACAGAGATGCTGGGGTAAGAAGCACCACTGCTGTCGGGAGGTAAGCTGTCCCTGCTCACCGAGCAGCTGCCTTGCTAGCTAGTAGTAGCCTTGTCACCATGATGGTGTAGCATGGCTTTCATGAGAGGCAAGGAGAACACCATATAGTCCGTTCTCTGCAGCTCATCCTGCTCGCCCCATGCCATGGACCGGCTGTTTGCCAACCCCAACTATTCCCACCTTGTAAATATAATTCTAATGTCTTGATTACAGATAAAAAGAGACTGCAAATCTACAGTCCAACACTTTAAATAGAGAATCATAGAATGGTTTGGGTTGGAAAGGACATTAAGATCATCCAGTTCTAACCCTCTGCCACACGGGGGTTGGAATCTGTCATTGAATTAATGACGCATTTACGATTGTTTGACGAATTTGTTTGTGATTTGTGTGGGTAGTGTGTGAGATTGTGTTGAAATATCCTCTGAAGTGCAGCAGGCAGAAGGAAATGAAGGATTGCAGCGATTTCTCAGTCTGTTATTTCTTCTATTGGTGACTAAACCTTGCTTTAAGTTGAAGGTGACTTACCTAGAGAGCAAGAATCACTGAACTGCAAAAGGTGGGAGAGGTTGGAAAGGCAGTCACCTTTCTGAAGATAGACTTGCACTCCTGGTTTTGGTTTCCTCCTTTAGCTGAAAAGTAAAATGACATAACTTCTGGAAATTACAAAGCGTTTATGTCGTGTGTAGATACCCTCTTGGTAGGGTTGTGAAACAGGGGTGGTTTCTTGTTTATGAGCACAGTACACAGTCTGGAGTTGCCATACATAAATAGTTGGTATGCTGGAGTATAGGTTTTGCATTTACAATTGCCTTGTAGGCTTTGGATATTTATATAAAAATGATGCTTAGAACCCTCCTGACAAATGAATCTAGCAGGATGGTGACTGGGAGTTAATGCTTTTTGTATATCAGGTGAAGAGGGCATTAGTGGAGATTCAGAGCCACGTACGGTACATCTGGTTCAGGCTTTACAGCTCCTTTCTCCAGTGTTGTGTCCCCCCTTATACCATGCATTTCTCTGCTGTTTGTGCTGGTTGCCAGGCTTTTAATCCTTGCCTTGCCTTGGAGTGGCCAGAACAACTGCCTGTGGAGTGTGAGGCAAGAGTCTGTAATGCTGATGGAGGTTCTGTTCTTTTTAAATCACAGAATCATAGGATGGTTTGTGTTGGAACGGACCTTAAAGCTCATCCAGCTCCAACCCCCTGCCAGGGGCAGGGACACCTTCCACTAGAGCAGGTTGCTCCAAACCCCTGTGTCCAACCTGCCCTTGAACACTGCCAGGGATGGGGCAGCCACAGCTTCTCTGGGCACCCTGTGCCAGTGCCTCAGCACCCTCACAGGGAAGAATAAATACAGCCATAGCGTTGAATTTAGGAAAGAAAGACTGAAACAAGCACTTTGCACTTGAAAGAGAAAGTGAGGGAGCTTTGTGGAGGTCCATGGTCACTGAGTCAGCATCCCCATGTGTACAACACGAATAATCTCACTTAAGGTGCTGGATGGGAGTGCTGAGAGAATGAATGACTGTTCGTGAAGTGCTTTGAGCTGTGAATTGCTGCATTATTACAACATTTTTTATTGGTCATAATAGGCCATGCAGCATTTAGAAGTGGTCATTTAGATATTAAAAGCTTCACAAAGCAGATTATGCTGCCCTGGTCTCTTCCTTGTCCCCTGAAGCAGTGTGTATCTTGTCAATATTTTAATTGGGGCAGTGATATGCACTCAGGAGTGTTATTCATCATAGACTGTTTTTTAATTCAGCTGAAGATTGGCCTGGGGCATCACACAGAAGCTTTGCAAGCTTCTATTCAGCCTTCAGCTCCCCAGTTGTGTATTCCTCTATCTCTGTAGCACCTATTTTCGTGCTATCTGTACAACCATTTTGTCATTTACATTTGTGCAGAGACACCTTGTGTATGAAAACGCTACAAGATCCTTGTGAGACAAGTGGAAGTTAAAAGCTTGGATAGGTCTCAGTAACGCTGAGCCACATCCAAACCCGCACTTAAATCATTCAAGCAGGAACATTTGAGCGTGAATGGCTGTCCAGAAATTCAAACATGCTACCATGGCACTTCTATCATTTGAAATGTTTGAGAAGAAGGGTGACCAGATCTGTCTGCTGCTTCTAGAATCCTGTGCTCAGCTCTGGGCCCCTCACTCCAAGAGAGACATTGAGGTGCTGGAGCGGGGCCAGAGAAGGGCACCGGAGCTGGAGCAGGGCCTGGAGCACAAGTGTGATGAGGAAGGGCTGAGGGACCTGGGGGTTCAGTGTGGAGAAGAGAAGGCTCAGGGGGGACCTGATCGCTCTCTGCAAGTGCCTGACAGGAGGATGGAGCCAGGAGGGGGCCGGTCTCTGCTCCCAAGGAACAAGGGATGGGACAAGAGGAAACGGCCTCAAGCTGCCCCAGGGGAGGTTTAGATGGAGCTGAGGAACAATTCCTTCCCCAAAGGGTGCTCAGGCATTGGAACAGGCTGCCCAGGGCAGCGCTGGAGTCACCATCCCTGGAAGTGTTCACACCCCGGGTAGACAAGGCCTCAGCACCATGGGTTAGTGGTGGCCTTGGCAGTGCTGGGGAACGGTTGGAATCGATGATCTTCAAGGTGTTTTCCAACCTGGTTGATTCTCTGATTCTGTGAATCTCCACACACTTCTGTTTTCTTCATCTAGCCCCAGTGGGTGAGGAGCTTCTAACAGGGGGATTCTTTTCTCCCTTGTCTTTCTGCAGGGGAGGAGCTGGATCGTGAAGAGGAGTTATGAAGATTTCCGAGTCCTGGACAAACACCTTCACCTGTGTATTTATGACCGGCGCTTCTCCCAGCTCTCCGAGCTACCCCGCTCTGATGCCCTGAAGGACAACCCAGAGGTGAATTCCTTAAAGCACAGTCACCATCAAGGGCTTGGAAGAGAGAGCTTAAAACTACTTTTTCACATGAAAAATAGTTTTAACATGGCCTGGGTTAGGTTTGGACATTGATTATGAGTAAGAAGATGTAAGAAGTACGTGTTTTCCACCCTGAATTTCAGTGGTCTAAAGGGAAATGCCCTGCAAGTTCATGAGGATTAATGTGCTGCTAAACATGGATACTGAGAGTGTCAAGAAAGAAGCTGTCCAGTCAGTACCTTAGATCAGAATGTTGTTACACCTTTGATTGTTTGTGACTTAATGTTAGCAACTTGACATTCCCAGGAAATCATGCCATGCCAGGGCTGTGGCACTGCAAGGGGACTACCATTTGCAGTGCTAGATTTGTATCTATGGGCTGAAAATTACTGAAGCATTTGCATTAGTGCATTACTTAAATGCTCTTTAAAAAGCTTAAAAGTGGGGGTTTTCCCTAAATGAATAAGAGGTATTTTTCATTTTTTGACATACTGTCCTCACCTGGAATACAGTGAGCTGGAATTCCTTTGGCTTCATAAGCCTGTTGATAACTCAGAGATTCATTCATGTCCAAAATAATCTTCTGGGAAGTAGCAGGTGCATCTTGACTGCATCATGTCAGAAAATGTGGAGAGGGAGGCAATGTAATACATGGCCACAGAGGTTATCTGAGCCAGTGGAGCATGACAAACCCATTCTGCCTGTCTGGCTGCAGGAGGAGGGTGTTATGCAGTGATGGACAGTGCCCCTTTCTTCATTGCACAGGTCACTTAGCTCAGAGACCTGTAGTTGAATATTTGCCCACTGCCATCAAGCACAAGGATGGGACAATCCTGACATGCTGTGTGGGAAGGCTGATGTTGCCTGCCCACAAGATGCAGAGCTGAAAAAGGAAATGGGGAAATCGAGGCCATTCAAAGAAGAATCCATCCAGGAACTGTAAATCAGAATGTGTGTTCTTTCAGCACAGAGCTGGTGAGGATCGATTGCTTTTGAGCAATAGGCAGTGGCTGAAATCAGTACCCACTAGAGTCTGCAGGGCCACTGAATATGGGAAGTTGGTAATGCGGTCCCGTTGCTCGTCAGAACATCTGGTTTATTAGTTGCTTTGGCTTAATGCAGACTGTTCCTGTAGAGAATTTAGTTTCTAGTCTCTTAAATTCAGCAGAAGCAGCAATATTCAGGGGAATGAATTCCTGGGTTTATTGTTTTAAATTCTATTTTAGGCATTCCTATCTCTTGCATCTTTATTTGTACAACTGATTTAATATGCACTTTATAGTATGAGCCTGAAAATTATCTCTAAGCACAGAAAATGTAAAGGTATTGAACACCTCTACTGCTCTGAAATGGAATTCTGCAGCTGTGTGGCATCTTGTACGGTATTTTTCACTCTGAATTGACCACGTTTGAACAGATGTTTGAAGAGATCAATGTTTTAAACACTCATACCAACTCTGGGCTGCTTTATAGACATGCTTTATAACACTATGAAGCTTTGGAAGGTCTTCCCCAGCTTCTCTTTAACTAAAGCAAGCTTCCTATTACAGAAGAGACGTTGCCAAGTGTATTTTTAACCCCCTCTTCTACTATTGGAAATATCCCTCTTTCACCAAGGGGTCGGGCTGAGCTGCCACATTTCTAAGGGTTTGCAAGTGGGTGGACATAGTGGGTTTTGTTGTGCTAAATGGTTCTGAGCTGTGTTTGATGTCCATCTGTTTTGTTTGGTGTGAGATTCATGATGAGAAGAAGGCTTTAGGTTTCAGGTGTCTTGACAAGGGAGATTACAGAAATCTACGTATCTTATAAAAATAACTATCACTTTCACAGAGACCTGCTGGTTTACCCTGTTTTTCTGGTGTGTAATCATTGTAACACCGTATGTAGTCTGCTGTCCTTCCAATGACAGATTTCCTTGCAAAGGGGAATATACCTCTTTTATGACAATGGATAATTTATGGTCTCTCTCTAAGTCTGAAGAAGTCTTTCCAAACTGGTGTATTAACAGAAAAACTCTGTGTCTTGTTTCTTTCTGTCCCAGCTTGTCACCCAGATGCTGATGGCTTACCTGTCACGTCTCTCTGCCATCGCAGGCAACAAGATAAACTGTGGGCCTGCTCTCACATGGATGGAGGTATGGGCTGAAGCTTAGGTTGTTCTTTGTTTCCTGACCTTAGCAAGCCACAAATGTGCTCTCTTGCCTTTCCAGAAAGAGGCATAATCCTTCCAGACCTATTTGTGTCACTGAAACGCTATCCTAAAAGCTTTACTCCTCTGTTACCAGCATATAAGTGGCCACAACGTCTAGAACAAATAGAATCAGATCCAGTGTTAATATAGGAGCTTTTTCCCCACTCCTTCTTGGATTTTGTCACCCAAAGACATATCATTCTGCTAATACGAATAAAAGGAGGTGGCAATTCCAGAGAAGCATTAACTTGGCAGTGGACTGTCTGGAATAGTCCCTGAGGAACAGGTTGCAGAAAGCACATGCATTCTTACCCTCCTTTTTGGCAAGGCAATACTGCAAGTGTGGCAAAAGCTATTGGAGCTGTCTCAGTTGTGGTGTTTGCCTGCTCTCTTTATTTTAATTTCCCTGGTGATGGCTACAGAAACAATAAAATCGGCTTCCATTTACTGTTGGTTAAACTGGTGCTCTTTGTATATTGTGAATTGTAGCTTTTGTTTCTCTGCTAATGGTCTTCTGCCACCTCAAACAACAGACCTTCTTGGGCAAGGAGTACAGGAAAGACTGGGGCTAAGAGATGAAGGGCCCCTGTCTGTGTCAGCAGTGCTGTTGCTGATTAGTCTTATGGAGATAGGTGTGTCTTTCCATTGCCTGAAGGTATTGCTGCACACCAGGAATAGAAACACCTATTATTAGACTGTTGCAATTCAGGTTTAAATAGTTGTAATAAGGATTCTGAGTGCATTTTCCTGCAATTTTCCCTGCTGATATCCTCCTCGCCCTGAAATACTCTTCCTGGGTTGTTCTCCCTCGCCCTGCCCGTGTGTGCTGTGCCCTGCTCTGTGTGTGCTGCTCTCCTCAGGGGGCCCTCAAGCTGTGCTGTTGCTGGGAATCAGCTTGAAGCCCCTGCCATGTAGATGAGCATTGCTAAAATGCCTCCTCACTTGTCCCCAGATGCCTCACAGTCTCCTGTGCTCTTTATTTCAGATTGATAACAAGGGGAATCACCTGCTAGTCCACGAGGAATCATCCATTAATGTTCCTGCTATTGCTGCTGCCCATGTTATTAAGAGATATATTGCTCAAGCAGCAGATGAACTGTCCTTTGAGGTAAATAAAAGAACTTACATTCCTTGTTGTCATATGTAGCAGAGTGTAACGTGAGTGTCTGTGTGTGTGTGTGCACATCAGGAATATATTCAGACACATCCAGAATGTTTTGTGAGGTGAAGCTTAGAAGATTCAGTTAAATACTCGATTTGCAATGGGTTAGATACAGGGAGGAGATCAGTCATCTGTAAAATACAGCTTTACTTGGCATTAGTATCTCCTGATTACACAGATGTTGCCAAGTACTACAGCCTGGTCTGAGCAGCAGCTCATGCTGCACAGGGTATTAAAAGTATGTTGTCTCTGTCCACATATGTGTGTGAGGACACATGCCAAGTTAATTCATCACAGGCCAGTTTACACAGCCTGTGTTCCTGTTGGCAAGTCCATGCCTAACCCATTTTCAAGAGCTTCTGCTCCCATGAAAAGTAAAGAACCAGACTGTTAAAGAATTTGATACTTGAAGAATGTGATAATCTAAAGCTGCTCTGAAAATCTTGCTTGATGCAGAGTAGGAGCTGCTGTGGGAGCAAAGATCTGGGAGATCAGACCCTGGAAGTCTTTGAGTGTCTCTCTCTTGTCCATTCTACCCAGAAGGCAGCATTTCATGCTCTGATTGTTCATGTGCAGTGGTACTATCAATGGAGCATTCATGGTGGTGTACAAAAAAGTGTCAAGGGAAACAGGTAGTGCCCAAAGGAGTGTTTGTGATCACATTCTTAGCATGCGGCACAGGAAGGGAAGATCATAGTGCTAGTCTGGTGCTGCCAGGGCTTTATTCATATTCAGATGCAGTCACTCTTCTACCTCACATTTTGATTTTACAAAGGCAGATGCCTCAAGATTGACATTTTTGCAGTTGCTCACAAGTTGAACAGTTTTTGCAGTGTTGAAAAATGCAGTTATTTGAACTGTGCTTTGAAATGCAGGTTGTGATTGATGTGGCCATTCTTTTACAGGTGGGAGACATCGTGTCTGTTATTGATATGCCACCAAAGGAGCTGACCACATGGTGGAGAGGCAAACATGGATTTCAGGTAGACACAAGCATCAGACATGATAGTGCAACTTCATTGAAGGCAGGAAACTCAGCAGTGTGTTTATGGGACTGCTGTGCCTGCACAGGATGTGAGCAGTGTCCCTGTGAATGTGTAAGAGGACTTCTTCTTTCTCTCTGGACTTCCTGCCTGTTTGAGCTAGGGACAGCCATGACCCTTTGGACAGCTGATGTTAGTGGAAGCTGATAACCCCTCCATGGCAGCTGTTATTCAAATCATCTCGTTCCTTCCACTATCTAAAACTAGATCAGGCAGAACATCGAGGATTCAGAGCAAGCCAGGTGGTAAGACACTGCCACTGACTTTGACAAGCCACCCAACTAACCTGTGCTTTCATGTCTGCATTTATTGTATAGTCTTAGCATTACTGGTCTCTACAAGTGTTACAGCAGAGAGAATTAGACTTCATTTTCAAGAGATCCTAAACATACCTGGGAATTAGGTACCAAAAGTTTTGTGTCGAAGGGGCACTGCTCTGCCAAAAGAGTTTTATTCCCTAGCTTGGATTTTCTCATCAGGAACTTAAAAAAGTAAAAGACAAAAGTCTCTGTTTACAAAACAAAACCTTCCACTAGAGCAGGTTGCTCCAAGCCCCTGTGTCCAACCTGGCCTTGAACACTGCCAGGGATGGGGCAGCCACAGCTTCTCTGGGCACCCTGTGCCAGCGCCTCAGCACCCTCACAGGGAAGAGCTTCTGCCCCAGAGCTCATCTCAATCTCCCCTCTGGCAGGTTCAAGCCATTCCCCTTGTCTTGTCCCTCCATCCCTTGTCCAAAGCCCCTCTCCAGGTTTCCTGGAGCCCCTTTAGGCACTGGAGCTGCTCTAAGGTGTCCCCTTCAGGAGCCTTCTCTTCTCCAGCTGCCCCAGCCCAGCTCTCTCAGCCTGGCTCCAGAGCAGAGCTGCTCCAGCCCTCGCAGCAGCATCATGGCCTCCATTCTTCAGTGCAAGCTCTTTGCTTGCCATCAGGCTGGCTGAAATCATGACAAAGAAAACTGCTGGTGATTAAAGACACAAGGAGCAACCTGTGCAACATGTCACTGCCTTCTGTCTCTCAGATCAGAGCAATCCTAGAGTGCTTTCCCAGCATAAAGGTTGGATCAGCAAACCACTTGAAGAGGGGTTTGTCTGTATCCATGCACAGTCAGCCTACTGACACAACAGATCCAAGCAGCTGCAGAGGTAGAACACCATATTCTGTCTTAACAGAAAACCAGGGGTGGAATAATCTTGTGTCTTAAATTATAAGCAAGGGTCTTTCACCATGTGAGTCCGATCATGGCCACCGAACCCCACCACTGGAAACACAGCAGCTGTAATACATGTTTCAGTAGCTCGCAGGATGTGTTTGCATTGTGTGTTTTGAGAAGTTCCTGCCTGTCGGCTGAGGTAGATAACAAACCATCTGGGTGCTTTCTGCTCCCCCTGATTGCCAAGTAAGGCTGCTTAGAGCAGAGGTGGTTTTCAGCAGCTGTATCTTGGCTGACAGGCAGTAATTTCATCAGCTATGCAAACTCAGTTATTACTACATAACATATTTCTTCACACACCATGGATCTGATTTGCAGAGAGGTGCATTTTTCCTGTGAGTTGATAGTTTTTGTCATTTCTTTGAACAGGACGTGTCAGAGCTTTTCATTTCCATGAAATCAGCTACCAAGAGATGCCAGTTCCAGCGTGGTACGAAGAGGGAGAGGGATTTTTAGTTTAAGGCCCATAAGCTGTGAGTGTACAGGAAAAGTTACACTTCCCTGGTATAACAGGAGATTTTTGACCATGCTAACTGCTGCAGTGAGAATTCGGAGAAAGGAGATTTCTCTCTGGTGTTGGTATGCCAGACTTAAGGATGTGTTACTGTTCAGTACCAGACTGTTCCTGATGAATGTATAGGTGAAGAATGTTGTTATAGTTACAGGTTTTGATGAAGCTGTGCAGCCTTGGAAGCATTTGTTATAGGCAAACAATTCTGTTCCCGCAGAGGAACAGAAGGTGATAGGGTGATAGCAATCAGTTGATCCAGTCATTTTAGTGGATAAAATAAAGCAACAAGCACTGTCTTGCCAGAGAGTTGTGATTCTGAGAGCAGAGAAAAGGAGGAGGCCCGAAGACCAAATGTTTGGCCAGTTTGTTCATGTTACTTCTCAGGTTTTTGCTCTGTGCTCAGAGAGGAGCAAGGTTTAATGCAATGGCCACAGCTTACAGTGTAAATCATACCTTGACAGAGGTGAGCAAGGCTTTGCCCAATGTGGAAAAACATGACTTTGTGGCTGAAAAGAGCTTACTTGGTTGTGTGCATTTAAACCAGCTGTGACATGGTTATGTCTGGGCAGAAGTATGGTCATTTCTGCACGTCCTCCCAGCTATTGGAGTGAATAAAGGCTTTCTCTGTGGTGGGCAGATGAACAAGAGGCAGCTCTGCTGATGTCATCAGGAAAGCAGATCCAATAGGTTACAAGTGTGTTCAATATGAGCTGCAGCTTTGATTCCTCATGGAAGTCAATTTATTCTGTGCCAGCTAGAGCTATCCTGCAGGGATGAATCACCATTCCTGTTATCCTCCAATTCCCTGTTAGAGCTGCAGGTCCTTTTCTCCCACTACCTGATCTAATGACTGCCTTGCAAGACACTTAAGCCACTGTGAATGAAACAGCCCACTGGGCTTCTTATCATTTTCTCTGCTTAAAGTAAAACGATTTTGAAGACATTTTTCTTCAAGCCTTTTTCGTTTCAAATGCCCTTAGTGAGTCACTGCTTTCCTTGTCAGATTGTTACCTAAATTGCAGCCACCTCCACACTAACAGCCTTCCAGCCCTCTTTGTTCTTCTGTTCTTTTTCTTCATGCTTTGTCTTTTCAATCACAGTTTCAGGCAGCTGAATCACGAGGGACAGGCCCTTTTTTGATGCACAAGTGCCTTTTGATGTTCTGGATAATTCTGTCTTTGGGCTACACTTCCATTAGTTGCACTGCTGCTGGAGGTGACACAAAACACTGCACAGGAGTGTGGTAACCACAAGTGGATTGGACTTTCTGGTAACCACTTGAGCTTACATGAGCTTGAACTGGTTGTGGCCCTTGCTTTCAAACTATGCTCCATGCTGAACCTGAACACAGGATTTAAGCCTGAATGAAATTCCCAAAAAGGGACATGTTCTGCCTTGGACTGGCCAGGAGTGAAGCAGTAGCCTGTGCTTTCCTCCTTTGGTTAAGGTGTGTGGTGATTTTTTAACCTTCAGATGACCTTGTATTGATCTAAATATATCCTTCCCTTGCTATTAATTTTCGGATGTTGCCAAATCCTTTAATCCTGGCTCAGGCTCTAACAGTGCTTTGCTACATCTGTTAAGATTAACTCTTGGGCTAAACTCCTTTATTTATACAAAATCAGGGAAAACTTTGCAAGGGAGGAAAAGCAGCATCTTTTAAATGGGTGGGAATGAGGCACAAGTAACAGGTTATGACCCTGAAGATGATCTCTTGGGGATCTTGAAAGAAAAGTTGGAATAAATAAGTCAGAAGATGTAAGCCATGAGAACTATTACCAGGGAATTAACATCAGAGAGCTTGTCAACACCAGCATGAGGGAAAATTCTCCTTCCCTGAAAAATACATTATAATTATTAGTTGGGAACGTGGCAAAAATGATGCTGTGAGAACAGTACAGTGTTTTATTTGGGAATGGTTCTAAGATATGTAAAAGTAATGACATAAAAGGTCTCCTTCCCTTTCAAAATTCATGTTTAGCATTTTATATTGCTAACAGGAAAAACATTATGTTACCAATCAAAGGCAAATGAGCTTTTGATTACAGGATAGGATTTGGGGCTGGATTTAGATCCACTATTTTTCACGGTCTCCCAAATGTATCATTTGTGTTATGGGCTCAGACTTCCACTGGATATCTATATTTTTCCTAGCATAAATATTGTCTCCTTCATCTCTTGCGCAGGAAATGTCCAAGTGAGGCCCTAAGCTATAGTAAAGTATTTAAAAATCATAGAATTTAAGTATATTTGCCCAGAGAAGCTGTGTCTGCCCCATCCCTGGCAGTGTTCAAGGCCAGGTTGGACACAGGGGCTTGGAGCAACCTGCTCTAGTGGAAGGTGTCCCTGCCCGTGGCAGGGGGTTGGAGCTGGATGAGCTTTAAAGTCCCTTCAACCCAAACCAGTCTGGGATTCTAGGATTCTATGGAATCATTTCTCCCCAGATATGGAGATTGTTGAGTGGCATGGGATTCCTGCTGGCACATCCTATTTCATCAGAGCATTAAGATCCTCGCCACACTCCAGTCTTTAAACTTTGCACTAGTTTAGACAGTCTCTCTGGCATTTCTGAGTTAGGGATGCAGGGAAAGCTGCCGTGATAAGGGTCAGTGCAGGAACACTACGAATGAACATTTGAAAGTAGTGGGTATGGTTAAGGAGCTCGTGTGGTATGTTCATCAGCTGTTCCTCAGATCAGTTTTCAGTAATGGATATGTGGCACTTTTCTCCCCTGTCCTTTGGCGACAGGGAAACTGAGGCACAACGGTTGCACTGGCTTATCCATGTTCAGATGCACATCAGGAATTCTGGCTCTTGTTAGAGGTGGTTTTGCTATATCACGCTCTAAAACCACTGATGTTCAGTCAAATGTCTGGGTTCTTTCTTACAAATGTAGAACTCATTGTGTATTTTATTACATCTGTTCTCAGGGCCTTGGGCAACACGGTATAGTGTGAGGCATCCCTGCCCATCGCAGGGGGTTGAAATCTTACTGCCCCTTCCAACCCGACTCATTCTATGATTCTGTGATTCTGTGAAGCACACTTACTTGGGATGCTTTAGTAGTATATTTAATCACCCCATTAGCTCATCAGACCAAGCGTGTGCAGTAAGGCGAGGGCATGATAGAGAGCTTTGTGCATTCAGTGTGTCTTCTCCTAACTTAGCACAGGAGAATATGCCTTTTTTTCTGTAATGGGACTACACAGACAGGCAAATATATTGAACCATATTGGATTTCAGTTTTCTAAAGGAATAAAATGCTAAAGTGCTCGTGAATATGGTATTTTAGCAGTGAAAACAGGTGTTGGTGTGGTTTGAGTACAGATGATTGAGCTGCTAAGAGCTCTTCCTTAAATTTCATGGTACGTACATGCAGTGCAGGAAACCCAGCAAAAGTCCTTCCGTCTCTCTCAAGCTCCACTTGAGCTTTAGGGGTGTGTAGCACACTTGTTCTCTCCCCTCTCTGTTGCAAGTGGAATATCTGTCCTGTGAACCAGGCTTAGAAAACAGACTCACACCAGGATTTTAGAGAACTGTTTGGTTTGTAGAATTTTTAACTGCATCACTTTGAAAAAATACTTCTCTCAGGCTGGTCATTTTATGTTGGGTCATGTTTTGGAGCATCAGAGATGAAGGACAGTGTTTACCAGTTGCTGGTTTAACAGGTCAGACGTTAAACCCACCACACTCAGTACTGTGCCTCTCTTTGTGTTTTTGCTACAGGTTGGATTTTTCCCTAGTGAGTGTGTTGAACTAATTAACGACAAAGTTCCTCAGTCCGTGACCAATTCTGTGCCAAAACCAGGTATGTGTGTTTGGGTTTATGATAAGTGAAATGATATTTTTGGTGTTCCATGTTTAATATCTCCTTTATACATACACACCATGTTACACTCTCTGTGTCGATCATTCTTTGTACGTACCATGTTATCCTTTCTATGTGTCACTCATCCACACGTTCCCTCTCTCTGTGTAGTTCCCACTGGTGAATGTCTTTCATCTGCAGTGTTTTGTAAGCTCCTATCAATGTCCATCTCCTGCATGGTTTGAAGGATTTTAAGCTTGTAAGAACTTATATACGTTTATCAATCTGTAAGCAGTGATTCCATGCGACATGCTGGTTCTTGGTGTCCAGAAAGTGTTGTCTGTTAGGTTATTTTCATACAGCGTACAGGTGACTCAAAAATGTTTCTGCTGACTTAGATGGAATAGATTAATTAGATGCTGAAAGCTTCCTTCTGTTTGAGGATTGATGGGGAAGGTCAGATTTAACAGAACTTAGAATCCTAATCGCTTCTGCTCTGGGTATATGACTCCGTCTACTTCCTACTGCCTTCTATATTGTGTGAAATCTGGGAAAATTAATACCCAGCTTTGCTGAGGAAAGGGAAAATAAATAGAAAATGAGACCTTGGATCTATTCTGTGGTCATCCCAGCATACACTGGAAGTGATTGCAGGTAAATGTGCTGGCGTAATTGAGTTCTCTGCAGAATGTACTGGTGGTGAAGCTTTTGTTCTTCTGATGTAAAAGAAGAAAATCTATATATGAAGATAGATCTATGTATCTTTTGTATCAAAAGAAGCAGTTTGAAATTGCTGATCTTTCTTAAAATGTTATGCAGCTGGCAAGTTGATCTGGGGAGAGATGGTTAACTGGTGTTCTTTTCATCTATTTTAATGATGTTCCTTATTTTCTAAGATTGCTGAATTGATATTTTAAAACAAATAGATGTGATTCAAAAGTTTGGCTTTTGCTAAGGGAAATATGTTTTATCAGATCTTGTGTTACAGCTTGGAACTTATGGTTCACTGGTAAAAAGCCATCAGTGCACTGCATGAATCTACATGCTTCAAAGAGCTGACAGCTTAGGGAAATCGTGTCCTCAGCCTTTGGTATTGCAGGCCTTTGTTATTCCTAGGAACATGCAAATGGATTAGTTGGAATCAGTGTCATGGAGAATTCAAAGCAATCCAAAGCACTGCAGCAGGTGGTCATTCCATAAATCCAGTATCTGCCTTTCGTTGTTTGAAGTTGATCTCTCAGTACTGTGATCAGCCACTTCTCTGTGCTCTCCCTGCTGAAGCGTGTGGACAAGAGCAGCTTGAAATCTAAACACAGGCCAGGCTGATCAATACAATCATAAGCAAAGTGTTTGTTATTAAATATGACTCAGGCAATGAAGTGTCATGAGCTGCTAGTGACTAGTTGCTTGCTAGGCTTTAATGAGAGATAATGAAGCAGCATGGATTAATAGATCCTATTTGGCTTCAGCAACACACATGGTGGTGGATTTCCTCTTTCAGCCCTGGGAAATGGCTGTTACAAAGTTGATGCCAAAAGCCCATCTCCTATTAGAAATAATAAGTGGAAAGATATCACCAAGTCATGAGGCTGTCCCTATTGACCTTCCCTGGTAGTTGTTCTGGGCATACAATTAAAGGCAAGAGTCCACTCTAGTGGAACACTAATGAGCTTTCAGATGTAAGGATTGCTAAAAGGAATGTTGACACTGGTTCTGCGGTCCTGCTCTGCTCTCCCTTTGTACACAGAATTGATGATACCATTTCTTCGTAGCACTATGCTTTCCATGTTTCCCAGCTTGGGAAGTAACAGCGCTTGTATGGTGGAGGCAGAAGTCTTAGAAGAGTTTTCCGTGGGTGCTACAGAGTTTGGCATGGGGCAGAAATGAACTGCTGGAGCACCCTGAGCAGCTTAAATAGCACTGCTGGGAAGTGGGATCTTTCCAGAGTCTCGCTAGGAATTGCATTGCTGGGATAGCACGGAAGAGCTTGTGTTTTCCTCCCCCATATTCCGTGCATTTGGTATATTCTAATCTATGGCTTAAACATATACAGTAGTTCTCACACACTTAGATGTCCACATCCATGATTTTTCTCTCTTTAACTATATTTAAAACAGCTGATTGGCTTTTCCCAAGGAATAAGAGACTTTTCTAAAAGGAACCGCTTGGAGCTTTTGTCCTTACTCATCATTAGCAGAGTATTTCATCTAGAATTAATGTGATTTGGGCTTGATAAGAGATACTTATGACATGCAAGCTTTATTTTCTTTCATCCAGATGTGTAGGACATTTTGTATGTGCAGCGGAAAGCTCTTTGCCATGAAGGAATTTACAAACATAGAACTCCTTGTGCTGTTTAGTTGTCCGTAGGCTTGGCTGGGTTGAGGAATCTAATGAAAAGCAGATGGAAAGCGAAGAACTTCCTGCCCTGTGTTTTTATTATGATTTATAATGAGAGGGTTTGATTTGCAGAAGCGATGGGGACAGCATTTTAATAGAACCATAAACTACTGCAGTGATCTGTAACACAGTGCAAATAATGACTGAAGTTCAAATGGAAATGAGATGCAGGGAATGGGAGGGGAAGGTTGGGTTTAAGTGCAAACTCTGCTTTTAGAAGCAATATTTTCTTTGCCTGTGGACTGTAATGATAACTTCTTAGCCTAAATTATGATATTGAATTGATAGCTGATATTTCAGACCTAATCCCATTTACTGTCAATTTCAGTAGTAGAATAGATGGAAGCAGCTCATATTTATAAAGGTTTTTGAAGAGATCCAGGATAAAGGTTGCATTTGAATTTCAGATACTCGATGAGAAGTGAATCTCTTCAATATTCATTAGTAGAAAAAAAAGCTCTTTTGTTTTTTCCTTCTGAGTGAACATTAGGGAATTGCCTGTAGCATGTGGCTGTTTTTACTCTGCTCATTCCCTTCTGTCCATCTCTGGTTGGTCTTTTCTGGGAACGATGTGTCCATGTGTGTATTCATCTTGTCCCCACTCATCATCTTGGCATAGCTCACAGTCCCAGACAGCATGTCGCAGCTATGTATTAGTCTGTTCTTCCTCATAATCCTGGATATCTGTAGCTTCTTCAGTCTTGCTTAGGACAAAAGAATGAATAACCCCAGCAGCTCTGGCCAAATTCCTGTCTCATCCATTCATTTAATTTGGATATAACAGGTAAATCTACTCTTATGATACAAAACTAAGTCTCTGTCTCCTCTGCAAGTAATGATTTTCAGGAAGAAGGCCTTTTGATAATAGGAAAACACAGATCTGTGCCACTGTTATCTTTTTGCATGGAATGCACAGCAAGATAAAGCATATTAAAGATAAAAAAAGATATTAAAATAGAGGAAAGCTGAATATGTAAGGAACCAAACCACACAAAATACACATTTACAAATCTGGGTGTTGTTTTCTTGTGGAAGTGGTTGGCATTGTCCATCTGGACAAAGAAGCTTCATATCTTCCAGCCCTGCTTCTGACTCCACAAGGTACTTAAACATGGGCTTAACTATAAGCACATGCTCAGCAGAGGGTGGAAGTAACACAGAGGAATCCCATACTTCCCTCCCTTGCTAGAAGTTCAGACATGCAATGTGTTTGGGGTTCTTCTCTTGAGCTGGGACACACTGGCTGGGGAGTTGTTGGATCCTAAGGAATTTCCAAAGCGTTTAAGGAATAAAGCACCAAACAACTTGGAGGATTGGGGCTGTGGTTGTGTCTAGCCTAGCTGAGCTTTGTATGAAATGAACCCATTTCAGTGGGTGCATGTTTTAACCAACTTTTTTGTTTTCTTCTTTCTTTTTCACTTACTCCTTCCCAGTCTCCCCTGCCCACGGAGCCCGTCCAGCGTCCTGGAGCTACTTCCCCCCTTGTACGTTCTCACTGATTCCTTTTTCTTTCTTTCACTCTTTCTCTCCCTGTCTCTCTCTTTGTATCTCCTAAAAATTACTATTTTCTTCTGTACTTGCAGGTCCAGGTGCTTTGAAGGGTATTTAGGGAAACCAAACCTTTAGTCTTGCTTTTTAAAAGCTCTTTGGACATAAAGGAGGGAAACAAAGAAACTTATTTTAACTCTTTTCTGGAGGAGATGATAAGATCATTTTGAATTAATAAAACCAGAAGTGAAAGAAATTAAGCGCCAGGCAACCAAATGTCAGTTTGAAAGAAAGAGGTGATAAAAATGGGTGATGGAGAGGAATTAACTGTTGTTAACCACTTGTGAGGGTGGTGAGGCACTGGAACAGGTTGCCCAAAGAAGTGATAAATGCCCCATCCCTGGCAGTGTTCAAGACCAGGTTGGACAGAGCCTTGGGTGACATGGTCTAGTGTGAGGTGTCCCTGCCATGGGCAGGGGGGTTGGAGCCAGATGATCTTACGGTCCTTTCCTACCAAAACTATTCTGTGATTCTGAAGTTTGTTAGAACTTGAAGATCTTAGACGCAAAGATTCTCTTCTTTATTTTCTTAAGCTCAGAAGGTGCTATTTGTGCTTAGCATCTCCCCGTGCTCAAAGTGAAGCTGTTACATGACTTATTTATTCAGAGAATCCTGCTTCATATTGCCATGGTCTTGTTTAGATCCTGCTAGTGCTCATCTAAGCTCATAGTAATGATCTGGTGTGAGTAAAATCAGTGACTGTTTTCATAGATGTACCTTTTTCTACAGTAAAGGTCTCATTTACACTTATTGATTCCCCCTGGAATGTTGTTTGGATTTCATACATCAGCCTTAAAACTGGATATGCAAATACTCTAGAGAGAGAAAGATATAAAAACCAATATATAATATGCATATATATATACACACACACACACACACACACATATATGTACTTTCTCCATGCATATGCATGCTTCCAGCCTGTTGGCATGGAGACTGTGTGCTGATAGCCTTGTAACATGGGAAACAGGCACATGGTTCCCATTCCTGATGCTTCCTCCTGGAGAAGAATGTTATTTGACAGCAAACATCTTGTTTTGGAGCCTCTT